AAGAAAGAAAGAAGCAAACAAACAAATAAACAAAAAATGAATGAATGAATGAATGAATGAAAAGAAAGAAAGAATGAGCGAACGGAAGGAAGGAAGGAAGAAAAGAAAAGATGAGGAAAAAAAAGGGGAAAAAAGGAAAGAAATAGAAGAAATAAAATAGAAATGACATTTATGATGACCTTGTTGTACTTTTGGATTTCTTTTTCTTGCAAGGACACTTTATCGTGAAGTTGAGTTATTTCTGTTAACAATAAATTCCAATCAATCATGAATTAGAAGGCTAACAGCTGATAAAAAATTATCATGGCCAGTATTAAAATATGATAAGAATTAATAATTTTCTAGGATTCAAAATTAAGTTCTATATTATTCTTAAATTTAAGCTTTATACACACATGTATGCACGTGACTTGTAAATAATTTTCCAACAAAAATGTCTTAATACTTTAATTCATGATGAAATTTCAAAGCTTTCACATCACATGCCTTTATGACTTTGATTTCTGATATTATATTCTAATTTTTATAATCACATTTATGATTTATGACGGGTATTAAATCTACATCAGAATTCAAATAAAGTCGTTCAGCTTTATAAGCTTACATCTTGCAAGTGAAGCTCGATCTCGTTTGAGCATTCAAAAAATATTTTCAAAACACAAAACGTAAAATAGCTATAAATTATTAAATATTCCAGATAAATAAATGATCCCCAGGAGAGCATAAAGAGTCAATTAAAGTCACTATTTTTATGAGTAAAGTGACACTGACTGACCTGCTAAGTGTCGTTCTTTTTGTCCTTCAAGCTCATAATTCAGCGTCCTCAACTCTATCAACTGCTCCTGTATTCATGCAAATAGAAAGAGTATTTCATATTTGTTCGTATTAGCCGTTGTTTTAGTTCTATGATAAGTGTTTTTAAGTACCTGCATTCGACAAAACTCTTCTGTCGATAAGGACTGCGCCATCTTGGCAAGCAGGAAGAACAACAACCCCCATGAACCTTTGCCTTCCTATTTTCCCGTCAGCCTCTAAATATCTAAATAATTTTACATTTTTTAAAAGAATTTTTTAATTATAAATATACAATATTTAGTTATAAGATATCATGTTTAACAATTAATGTTTTTTGCAAAAAAATTAAAAAAAAAAAGGAAAAAGAGAAGAAAATGAAATATATAACTGGGCTTCCTGTGGTGTAAAGTGGCGTTGAATAGTTGCAATATAATAAATATTAAATTTTTTTATTGTCTATAGGATATCGATGTCTAGGATATCATTTTAACGTTTAATACTTTTCCTAAGACTCTTTTGCAAAAAAATAATTTCAAAAACATAATTAATGACGGGGCCACTGTGGTATGAAGTTGTCATACGTTTGACTAAGTGTTTTGGGTAAAAAAATATTTGAAACCTTATCAGAATTGACTTGACTGGATCGACCTTCTTTAACTGCCATCAAAACGGAAGAACCTTCTTTTTGTGAACCCAAAAATATTTCAACTGAATAAGAAATATTATTGGGTTTCCTGTGGTCTAGAGTTCTGATAATACAAATCTATTACTATCCCAGGGAGGGGTGAGGATGAATATTTTAATCCACTGTTTTTTGAACATAGTCCATGGATTTTTAGTTAAGACTTTAGACTTTTAAGCTGATCAGATCTGGTTTGAATGGATCGATCTTTTTTAATTCCAAAAATACTGCAGTTCTTTTGCTGTAGTCTAAAAAATAGGTCAAGTTTTCCGGTCTGAGCGCGTGGCACCAAAGCATTTTGGAAATGAGGTCATCACAATTCTTCATCTGAGCTTTCCTTTTTTCCAGTTTTTTTTAGTATTCTTAAGCTACAGATTTTGGTTTCATTACTTTTTCCTCATCCTGCATCAAGATGCCTCGAGCAAACACTCAACAACAGATAGCAATAACCAAAGATTTTTGGAAATTTCTACGCTCGAAAAATCTGAAACCAGACTCAAAACAGGAGCTAAGAAATATTTATTACGACGAGTTCAAGAAAGGGCTAATTCCTTCTGGACCGACTGTTGCTTTTTCTTCAATTTTATATCATTTAAAGAGGATGAAGAGGCTAACGAAAGGCAGTGAGCCTGATTCAATATTATACTATGAGAGAAGAGGCAAGAAGATGGTTATTGCAGTCGATCAGACGTATGTCCAAAGACGTAAAAACCGTCAAAGTGGGCAAAAGAGGAAAGATGTCAATGATAAGGAAGTTCCAAGAAACCAAAGCTTTGTTGAAGACCTCAAGAAGGTTTTTCTGAAGAATAAGTAAGTTTGATTCTATTGAGACAGTATAGTTGGTCTCCCACCCTCCCCCTTCCCCACACTCCCCCCCCCCCATACACACACGCTCCCATTCTATCCTATTCCACCCCCTCCCATCCCATCCTTCAGGAGCTAAAATGGCTAGATTGGTAATGAAGTCCACTGGCAGCAAAACAAAATTGCAAGACATGTCCCATAAGTTACAAGTATTGATTCACTTTATACCCATACCCAAGATTGGTCTGTACGACTTGCACTTTTACTGTCAGCGGACTTCAAGTGAATTAATCCTTGGGGACATGTCTTACAATTTAAGACATGTTGCAATTATCATTTCAAAAATATTTTTTTCAGGGACATTCTCACTGAAGACAAGAAAAATGTTCGAATATACTCAGACCTTGACATCTCGCATGGAGTGATTGACTTTGGAGAGTTTCCAGTTAATGGCAGCTCTGAAGTCCTCGAAATCACAATCAAAAATACAGGGGCCACTCCAGTTAAGTTGAAAAGATTTGCTGCTCTCGACAAAGTTTCAGAATTTATCTTAGAAGACAAGCACCGTGTAACTGAAATGAACAGTGAAACATTCAAGGTTCTTAAAATAAATAGCTTGAAGCAATATCGCATATCTGCACTCTTCAAGCCGTTAAGCCTGGGAAATTTTAAACTACCAATAGTATTTGAGTTTGAAGAAGAAGGGCCTGAAACAAAGGTTTTCCATGTCGCACGATTCTTGGTCGGACAAGCAACAGATGAAGCTGTTAGGAGTATTCTGCCAACAGCAGAATATCATCATCCTTCTCCTCTTGCAAAGATTTATGATCCAAAGGTTGATGTCATTGCTGGGGTACCTCCAGATACGTAAGTGTTGGCAAGTTTAAAAAAAAAAGATTCACAAATTGCAAAGTAAAGTGATTTTTGCATGAGTTGGAAGCATACAGTTCTACCATCATCATGCCATCACTACCAACAACAACATCACCACCAGCCAGAATGACTAGCATCATCATCACCACCACCATTCACCTCCACCATCATCATTATCATCACCAAAATCTTCATCATATGCATCATGGCCAGCCATAACCACCACCACCATCATTATCATCGTCATTACAAACATTAACATCACCATCACCATTCAACATCATCATCAACAACACTGTCATCATCATCACCTACACCATCGCACCGGCATCGCGGAGGTCATGGGTTTGATTCCTGTTGAAGCCTGAAATCATTTTTTCAGGTCTTTCTTTACAGCGTTCGCTTAGTCGCGCTCATTCACTGTGATTATCAACACATCTATCATTATTTCACCACAGTCCTATCCATTGAATATTCATCACCTACACCAATTCAACTCTTATCATAATGGTCATCATTATCTTTATCAAGGTTATCATTTATCATATTATTTTGTTTTATAACCAGACATGAAAGCAGGCTAGTATACAAGGTTCGTCTTAATCAGTACCGAATCCCCTTTGAATTGAGAGTCAGCCTAAACAAAGGCAATCCAAACAGTCACCTTGAGGAGCTTCTCCAAGCAGAGTTGTCATCAAGGAACTACCGAGAAAGATTTGCAGCTCTGTTGCACATTGAAGAAATGCAGATGGAGGTTGATATTCATCACTATGATAAGCACAATGCAACAATGACCCGAGATGGCCCATTTCTGGTTCTCAAGGTTGGTATATATACATGCAAAAAATATATATATATATTTAAATTCAACACTCAACAAAAATACATCCCTATTGATGCATAATACACTCCATTCCAGGCAGCTCCAAAGAAAGGTCTTGAATGTGTTCTCTACATACCTTGAAGAAATTTCACTCCTTTTCATGGACCTTTATGAGCTGAATTAACAAACATTGCACTGTGTAGCTTCCGTACAAACATTTTTTGTTAGTCATGCCTTTTAACTAATATGTTGTTGTTTATACCCAAGCTAAACTCAATGCATCCTATAATATTGAACTCAGAGAAGGTATATGGGAAAGCTATGAATATGTAATCATAATTATAATTTTCCTTAAGTCATTTACAGAGTACAGCAGTCAGTAAAGCTAATAAGTGCATTGAGTACAGTACATAATACTATCATCAGGTTAACCAGATATTGATGCTGGCCCCTTACCAGAATTGACTGCAAGTTCTACATTTGTATTCCTTCCTTCATTTCAGGTTCCTGGTCTTGCTGAAAACCGTCCATCCGTCATCAAAGGAGATCATCTTTACGTAAGGATACAAGACAAGGATGGTGTTGCAGAGGACAAAGAATATCAGGGATTTGTGCATCATGTGGAGCTGAATGACGTGAAACTTAAATTCCATCAGAGGTAAGTTATATAATGTAACAACTTGGAGAATCAAGGAGCAATAGCAATAACATTAGTGCACTCACCTCTGGAGTCTCAGGCTCAATTAACCATTTTTCATACGTTTTTCATCAAACACAAAGTGCTCAAGGCAGGTGCCAAGGTACTTTCAAAGGATTATTCAAATTTGAACCTTGCAACCTCGACTGAATGCTTTGTGTTTGACCAGTGAACCGTTGTATGGAAAAGGGTGAATACAATTATTACTGGACTTGCCATCGCACATGAGAAGAGTTTGTTTTGTCTCTCTCTCCCTTGATTTGAGGATTTTCTCTACAGTGTAGGTTCTTTTTATCTCTGGGGTCTCATGCTTGATTACTGAGGAGCTAGGCATCACATGTTAGGGGGGGGGGGGGGCTAGAATTTTTATCCATGGAATTCAAACTAAGACAAACTAAGATTTCATTCTTGTGAAAAATAGGGGCTAATCTAATAATCATCTAGCATTTTGGGAGTGCCTGTATTAATGCATTCATCTGATGTAATATAATTTCAGTTTCCATAAGAAATACATCAAGGGAATGAAAGTCCAAGTGAGGTTCACCTTTGGAAGGACGCCCCTCAAGATAATGCATCGTTCTCTGCAACTGCATTCTGATGTCGTTGAGTTTGATCAAGTCTTGGCTCTAAATAAAGAAGAGGGGCAACATTTAGAACGTGTTTGTCCTGTACAAGTGGTGAAAAAGTAAGTTATAAATAGAACTGTCAAATTATAGTCCTTATTTAAAATTGAGTGTGATTGATTAATAGTGATATGAAGTCTGAAATTAAGATTGTTTACAATTTCCCATGACTTACAGAAATTCCTCAGATTCTTCGCACTTTTTCACTTTTTTCAAAAAAATAATTATACTTTTTCATAAAACTTATACTTTCTTAGATAGTTTCCATGCAATTTCAGGCCCTAGCTTTTCCAGTGTTTTGGAGTTGATGTAAAATGAAATGACACCGATTAGTCTCCAATATCAAAATTATTTATTTCCCAAGGGGTCTATTAAAGCAAGCAACCTCTATTTAGTCAATCAGTGTCCAGCGTCCTAAAAATGGGTTCCAATGCCATGTTTTTTACCCACAGGCTTTTCAATGCTAAGCTGGAAAAAAACCCAGAACAATTCCAGGCAGTTACCAATATAGTGCTTGGTACATCACGACCTGCTCCATACCTTATCTTTGGTCCACCAGGCACTGGAAAGACAGTGACAGTAGTTGAAGCAATTAAACAGGTAACTAATGTATATCAGACTATGTTTACAGAGTCATACATTATAGTAAAACATGGACCAACAGTAATAGTAGTGCTAATACCATTAAACAGCAGACCAAGCTTGAAATTTCCATATCATGAATGGTTATCACTTGATGAGTGAAAAACATATGGTATTGACTTACAGCAAGTTCACAGTAAGACATGTAACATTGAAATGGTCTTCCCATTGTCTTCCAAAAAATTCTTCATACCAAATTGCATAGTTACGGCTATAAGATATGGTACGAGTACAGTATGGCCCAGGAATTTGCAGCATAGATCAATTCCCACTGAATGATGAAATCTGCTGTTTTGTTTGTAGGTGCTGAAGTTATTTAAAAACAGCCATGTTCTGGCCTGTGCACCATCCAACAGTGCAGCAGATCTAATCCTTGAACGTGTTATTGAACACAATGTTGTCCCAAAAGCACAGATGCTCCGGCTTAATGCATATGGACGTTCACAGTCAACTCTACCAGAATCTATCAAGGTACATGTACACCTCTCCAGTATATTCTCATTGCTTACTCCTTACTTTGAGGGGCACTTTCCACAAATACCATAGTTTGTAACCATCATTATCATCATCATCATGCATCATCATAGTGGAAATGGGAGGGAATTTTCCCATTAATCTGAGATTTAGTAGGGTGATCCTTCCAATTTTGTTAGCATTCATTGCAAATGGAATCGTTCCCACAAGTGTTAATGCATGCCATGCAAAGTGCCCTTCTATTGCAATGTTTAGACCAAAGTGTTTAGTATGATGTAGGTTGTGGTCATCTTAGAAGAGTCTTGAAACCCGGGGGGTACTCTTGCCTGTTTAGGGTAGGGATGTGCTGCTGAGCCCACTGATCCCTGACTCTGTTCCAGAGTAAAATCGCTGAAATTCATTCCCTGTTCCAGAGCAAGATCGATGAAAATCATAACCTGTTCCGGTATTGCGAAAATGGATACCCTGTCCCAGAGAGGAGAGAGCATGATTTCATATACCCTGTCCCAGAGCAAGTACGATTTTATATTCCCTGTTCCAGAAAACCATACCCTGTTTGGCGGCAAATACCCCTATAGCGAGTATAGGGGAGTACCCCCCGGGTCTTGAAAGAAGTGTTCATCCACAACTACATCCATCTACAACACCCTGACCAACTATCCAACCAGCCAATGTTGTTCACAATCTGATATATATGCAACAGTTATTTTTCTCAAAAACTTTTCCATTTGATTATGTTTTTTCACAGCGTAATTAATTAAAACCATTCGCTCATATGTACCCTTCTAATTGCTTTATTTTTTCTCATTTTGTCCTTGCAGCCATTTTGCTGCATTGAGGACAAGGAGTTCTTCTTTCCATCAGTAGAAGACATTATGTCAAAGAGGCTTGTAGTCTGTACACTCATTACTTCTGGAAGGTTAGAACACAACCTCTGAGCTGATCTAAGGCAGGGCATGGCTAACTGACTGACAGATTGAATTGGAATTTATATTAGCTTCTTAGGTTTTGAAGAGGAAACTTGCAGCAAAGTTTCATTCCAAGATGCTTTTTACCATTTGTTATGTCAGGTAACATGCTAAATCCCAATTCAATTTCTGAGATAGCCGTGCCCTGACTTAGATCATCCCAGACATTGTACATACATCTTTGAATGCAAACACCTTTGAGGTCATTATTTTTTTACTGATTTACTTTATGGGCAATGCTCAGAATTTTATAGTTGGGTTTCTTCAGCCCCACTACAACTTGCCTTTATCATATTAATACTTTCTTCTTTACATTTTCTTCACAGACTTGTTTCGGCGGGAATCACAGACAAACATTTTACCCATGTCTTCATTGATGAGGCAGGGCATAGCCTTGAGCCAGAGTGCTTGGTCCCCCTGGCTGGTTTAATCAACCCTAGGAATCCAGGAGGGGGACAGGTTGTCCTTGCAGGTGATCCACAGCAGCTTGGACCTGTACTGAGGTCTCCTATAGCTGTCAAGGTAATTATAACTAGTACCATGTGTCATTCTCTTTAGGATAAAATTCTTTGTTCGAGTTGCATCCATATTCATGTTTCGTTTCTTGTGCAACTGTTAAACAAAGAAATGATACTTAATTAAGGGAATGACATAGGATTATAGAAAAACATTGAATTGTATCCATATTCGTGTGTCTTCTCATACTCAACCGTTAGGCAAAGAAATGATACTCAAGAGAATGACACATGGTCTGAAATGGGAAAACATTGAGTTGTATTCAAAGTTGTTCCAAAACAAGATTGCCACATTGCTCTTTCTTTCTTCTGCTAGTATGGCTTGGGTGTTTCACTCCTGGAAAGAATCATGACCAAGACTCCTTATTATGGTCGCATCCTTGATGAGGATGATGAAGAAGATGAGCTTGGTGAATACAATCCGTTACTTCTTACTAAACTGCTGAAGAACTACCGGTCACATCCAGCTATATTAGAGGTTGGTGGGTCAAACTGTATTCAAACATTTTCATTGAAAGCATGTGATTATGATGATGATGTATGATGATGATGGCACAAGATGATGATGCATGATGATGATGTATGATGATGATGGCACAAGATGATGATGCATGATGATGNATGATGATGATGTATGATGATGATGGCACAAGATGATGATGCATGATGATGATGTATGATGATGATGGCACAAGATGATGATGCATGATGATGTTGATTATATGATGACGATGTACAATGATGATGAGGTGCCCATGATGTTGATGGTGACGTATAACCATGATGAGGCATGATGATGGCACAAGATGATGATGCATGATGATGATGTATGATGTTGTTTATATGATGATGATGTACAATAATAATAATGAGATGCCCATAACATGATGATGATGATACAGGATGATGATGGTGCAGGACATGATGACACATGATGATGATGTATGATGATGATGAAAACTCATGATGATGATGTTGCAGGATGGTTATATTATGCATGATGTATGATGATAATGATGCATGATAATGATGTGCAATCATGATGATGAAATGTCCATGATGATAGTGATGATGTTGCACGATGATAATGAAAAAGAGGATGTAAGATATGATGATCTATGATAATCTATTATCTACCATATCATAGTTAATTTGCACCAATTGTCTTACTATTCTTAATCAGGAATACAAATTTGTATAAGAAAAAAATCACAAAACATGCTGGTACTGGTCGTAAAATGATGACATTTTGTAATTAAAAGTGAGTCTTTTGTTTATAGTTACCCAATGAGATGTTTTACGACGATGAACTGGAAGCATGTGCAGATGAACTCAAGAGAAATTCTCTGTGTCAGTGGAGTAAATTGCCAACCAAAGATTTCCCCATCATCTTCCATGGTGTCAAAGGTCGTGACATGAGGGAAGAGAACAGTCCATCATTCTTCAACCCTGAGGAAGCTGTTACTGTCGTCAAATGTGTGAAGGACCTTAGAGATAGTAGAGGAGTTAACATCTTGACCAAAGACATTGGGATCATATCGCCATACAGAAAACAGGTAGACGCATGAATAGATTGAAATAATCCCTTCTTCTTTCCCGCAACTTCAAAATTTAACATTGCTACGAAATGTTTGACAGCCTTGTGGCTTAAGGATGATGTGCTCTGAACCAATCACCACAGAATGCAAAATTACTGTTTATTCAACCAGAGTGCTTATGTACAGTCTCATGACCATATGGTCGAAATATGTCAGTGATGTTATCTTTTTCACTTCATGGTCACAGTCACACCAAAGCATATATTTTGTTACTTTAAGCTTTCAAAGTCCCACAGAATTAACTTAAATCCCCAAGATCCTAGCTGGTCAATGACATGAAGCAACTGATCCACGAGGCTGTTTCACGTCACCAAAGCTGTTGCCCATAGCAACGTGAATCATAAAAGCGTATCGCTGCCTGTATGCCATGTGAGTTCCATTGTTACACAACAATAACTGTAATCTATAATAAACTGGCTTACTATTTAAATAGTTAAAATACAGGTAGAGAAGAAGCATAAAACATTCTCATTATTTAAGCACCCAGTGTTACTAAACCAACTAGATGGGGTCAGCCAAAGCAGGAAGATTGATTCACAATTCCGATAAAAGTATTGTATTCCTGTACAATAGTCATCATCTCACCTTTACTTCATATGTTCTGTTTACAGGTTTCTAAGATACGACAGCTCTTATCCCACGAGAACATCCATGATGCCAAGGTAGGGTCTGTGGAAGAGTTTCAAGGCCAGGAGCGTCGAGTTATCATTATTTCCACCGTGAGAAGTTCTCAAGAATACTTGCAAGTGGATGCACGGTTTAGGCTTGGATTCCTGAAAAATCCCAAGGTTTGTGCTAAGGTTGCCACATAAAAGGGATTAAAAAAGGTTACTTCAGCTGTTTTCTGTTGATTTACATTTTTGGCAAGAACACCAGAGCCATTATTTCCCACAAAAAATCCTTGAAACCTGGAATCTCTGGAATATTTCTGTTTCTGCTTAATTCACATTTTGGCGGGAACACCAGAGCCTCTTTTTCCACCAAAATCCCCCAAGACTTTGAAGGGGACTTATTGCAGTTACCAACCTGGTATGGTTGTTTCAAAATTGTTGGTCCTTTTTAAAGGGTAAATGGCAAGGACTCATAGTGGTCACCAACCTAGACTTTTTGATTTTCTTTTTTTTTTTTTGCTTGCAGCGTTTTAATGTAGCCATCACCAGGGCACAGGCTTTGCTAATAGTGGTTGGGAATCCCTATATACTGTGTAAGGACAGTCACTGGGGAAGGTAAGTAAAACATAGACACCAAATGACTGTGAGTGCAGTGGTATCTGTAGACTTTACACTTAGTCAGACTCCCTAAATTACATTAACTCACTTGGAGATAATTGCTAACTCAACAGAGTTGTGCGCTGAGGGTCAGGCACTAAGGCCTTCAAGAGAAGTGAGAGGCAAAGACAAAAAGTCCTGTTGTGCAGGAAAACAAGCTGAGAGAGAGAAAAAAATCTATATGGTATTTGCCCTAGTATCACAGTGTAATATAATTCTCTACATTTAACAATTTGTAGAGATTCCAATCGGTTTTGCTCACAAAATGTTGAGCTCTTTCTGATTCATTAATCCAGTAACCAACTGGGAATAGCATGCAAAAGGATGCAGAGCATTGTTTCAATGAGGGTAGTGCTACTCTTTCTAAAAATTTAGGAATCGAGGCTCTTTGAGGGGCAATCCCAAAATATTTATCGATGTCAATGCATTTGAAAATTTAGGAATCGAGGCTCTTTGAGCGGCAATCCCAAAAYATTTATCGATGTCAATGCATTTGACAACTCATTCGTTTGGGCTACAAAATGGGGGGGTTTTCCCATCAGTGGCAAGAGTTTAGTATGACAGGCAGATATCAACTTGTACCCAGAAGATGCAGTTGTAATGAGCAATGGTTGCAGAAGCAATATAAATATAAAGGCCTCTCATTGAAGATGACCAACATTCATTTTTCACATCCAGACTTATTCAGTACTGCGTCAAACACAAGGCATACAGAGGGTGTGACTTCATACTTCCAGATGAAGAAGAGGAAGAGTTAGTACGCAGACTCAAACGTGTCCACTTGCATTCTCAAGAAGCATACAGTAACCTCACCCAGGACCAGGACCAGAACTTAGCTGCCGCAGAAGAACAGCCCTGGCACAGACCAGAGGATCACTAGATTTCTGTTCCAAAGGTTTGGTTCTTGTGAACATAAAATAACATATGCAGATATGCAGGCTCATTTGGCTCTGTTGGGTGAGGATTAGCCATTCCAAAGTTAGAAGGAAAACTTGGTCATGCTGGTATTGCAGTGGTCTCTGTTTTAGAGAACTTATTTCCAAGATGGTGTCTATTTCGTCCCCTAAAACAGTCCCACAATGCACTGCAATACCAACTGGACCCAGTTTTATTCCCAACCTTGGAATGGTTAATGACTAGTGACTGCTAATGACTAATCCACAAATGATCCTGCTTATTTAGAAACTGTGGAGGGGTTATGGCTTTTTATAACTTTAGCTTACAGACCTATATCTGCCTATCCATTGCCCATAAAAAATGCAGGGGATTGCTTTCAACACATATTTTCTAGTATCTATTCCTGATTTTTACATATTACGAGGAGAGGCTTCATATATTTGACTAAAAACTACTTGATTTTTTAGAAGAGAGGAAAGCTGGAGGAATTAAGGGGAAAAAAGCCATTGTGTTATTACACAGCCAATAGAAGGTAGGGACATCAGTATTTTCATTTAATCCAAAGCTCTGTCACCAAAGAAGACTGAATACAAGCAATAGTTAGCATCACGATATATACTCCTTTGAATAGAGGAAAGGTTGTTTATTTTTCTGTGAGAGTCCATGTGAATTCCATTGCGCCCCCCCCCCCCCCTTTCTAAAAAATGAATGCTGCCAAAGGCACACAAGAGTATTTGTGTATATTGAAATATTTTCCAAGCATTTGAAGTACAATACTGTGTAAATTGTACAGATTTGCTCAGGATGTCCTATAGCTAGCTATTGCATATATCAACTACTCACTTCTAACTTATTAATGCTCAAGCAATTTTAAAACTTTATATAATTTTAATTTAGAAAGACATCCTTTGAATGCAGGTATTCAAAATACATTTTCATTATTTAAATAATTTTAATATTGTAAAAGATCCCTAAAGTATTTTGTTCATGATTTTTATTGTCATTTAAAAAAATTTTTAATAGAGTGCAAATAATATACCCGTGAAAGAGATAGCTAGCTAACTAATTACTAACCTTTGGTTGCCTAAGTCTAATTAGTTAAAATAGGCAAACCCTRACGGGCAAACTAGTGCACGTGTGCTACACAAGGGTGCGCATTTTAAAATCTTTTTAAACACACTTACAAAAACTGAAACAATATTTTTTTGTTGCTTTTCCTTCGTATAATTTGACATGTTCGCATTTTCGTATCTATTCATTTGCGTACTGAGTTGTTACTCTAGTAAACGCCCGTGCCCTAGCTTGTCATGCCTCACTGAATTCCTATGTTTTGTCTAATAGCGCTAACTATCTCCTATTTCATCTTAACTATTTTACAGGTATATTATTTGCACTCCAGTAGGCTCAATGTTATTTTTTGGGGAATTGGATGTTTTATTTGCTAAATGTAAGGAATCAAAAGACATCAGGATATGCCTTTTGCCGTGTACTAAGTCCATGTGATCATCATCACATCAGTATCAAATGAATTTAGCTCAAAGTTACTAAGGCTCTTATTCATGGTGATAAAATTTCAGCTCTTTTGAATATTGAGATCATTTTGCCTAAAACATAGGATCCAATTACCCTTATTACACACAGATTGGGACATCATTATGGGGTCGCCAAGTGAAGCTAATTTGGGAGTGAAAAAAAGGAGTGGGAAAAGGATGAAATAAAAATACCATTCTATTTGATTCCTGTTTTCTGCTTTGCCTACCATTTTTTGGATAGAGAAAATCTTAGTAGAGAAAAACTGAGAAAGTTTTGAAATAGGACTAGGGTTGGGAGAAGTTATGGTCCAATTCACTAATTAATCCATCGCAGTAGTACTTGAAAACGAGGCTCCATCACCAGTCACGTGATCACATTGATAATTACTTCCATATTTGGCTGGTTCAGTTTCGATGTTTGTTGAACCAGCGTGATATATTTACGAATGCATCACTTTCTGCTTCTACTTTGTTGAGTGGATGACTGTTATCTGGATAAATCAGAAGCCTGAAACAAAAACCAACACCAAGAGTAATTTTTAAAATTTGAATAAGCAGTAAAGGATTCTGTGGTTGTTAAGTATGGAGTAGTTTTCATGAGGATGAACATTACCGTGGCACGGCATTGTAATCTGCCGCAATTAATTCACAGGTCAAATTGGAATTTAGCATGTTAGATGAGCATCTTACCTGACATCTACTCCTCTAGCCTTGAGTGTACGGTACAATTCTTTCCCTTGGGAGGGTGGGACTCGCAGATCAACCTCACCGAGCATCAACATTGTTGGGGTGACAATCTAAAACAAATCATGAAAACGGAAGAAAGAAAGAAAAGTGAGGAAAAAAGAACAACCATAGAAAGAAGGAATAAAGCAATATGGAATGAAAGAAAGAATAGGGGGCTAAAAAAAGAAGGAATGAAAGGACGAATGATTAACAGAACAAAAGATAGGAAGAAGACAGGAAGGAATAAGAAGAGAACAGGACATAAAAATACTGTTACTTCCTTAAAACTACACCATCCAGTTTTATTATACCACATTGCTTTAAATAAGAGCAACACAGACCTACCTTTTTTACATGACTAATAGGACTGTGAGACAGTAATTTAGCATAAGTTTCTGCATCTGCTAGAAGATCGTCATCAAAATCACAAGCAGCCTCTTCAAACCCCCTGCATAAAGGGTAGAAATTCTTTAGTTTAAATTTGCTAGGCTTGTGAGTTGCTGTTTCGTAAAATTTGAACAAAGACTATTGCTTACCAATCTGGGATATCAGAAGTTCCAATCAAGGCTGTGGAAAAATATGTCAACATAACTAAACATAATGGATTGGAAAGGGAAGGAGAAGCAGAGAATTGTCAAATTTCTTTGGATCCTGCAACATTAGATCTCGTTACTATTAAACTAATTTTTAATATTTTTGATATTGAACGAGTTAATGAGCTTCAAGCAAAGAGCTTCAAAAAGTGCACTTTCTCGACAAAAACCAAACTACAATCACGATAAAAAATTAGATCTGGTTACTATAAATGTAGTTTTCGATATTTTGGCAAAGTTAGTTATGAATATCTATGAGAAAAAAATCTATTTCTCTGAAGTGAGTCTTGCAACATTTTACTGGATTGAATGTCAATCAAAGAGAGAATTTATTCATCTCGCATGAAGTTTGAACGAGTTCATGAGCTTCAGGCAAAGACCTTCAAAAAGTGCGCTTTTTCAACAAAAAGCAAACTACAAACGCCATAAAAAATTAGACCTGGTTAGTATGAAACTAGTTTTCGATATTTTTGCAAAGTTAGTTATGAATATCTATGAGAAAAAAATTA